ATTTCTATCTATGGGATCTACATGGTTAATTTTGTTATCTAGATATTTGCTATCATATAACAATACATTACATATTATTATTATTATTGTTATTTTAATTATTAATTAAAGTAAAAAATTAATTAATTAAACTATGATATATATAATAAAATAAATAAAATTTTACAAAACTGATTATTTTTAAATAATTATAATTATTTTATATATAGGTATCCCATTTTGTATAGTACTGTACTATACTGTATGATGTATAGTATTATATCTTATTAAATCTCAAACATTACTGGTATTACAATAACTGTACATATGGGGATCCCATAGAATAACATTAAAGTTAAATTTCTATAGAAATTTATTCAGGAGAAAGTTTCTAGAAATTTTCTCACGGAAATTTATTAGAAACTTTCTATTTGCCCATCTCTATGTATAATACAAAACCATATATATATATATAAATTATTAACTTTGATATTTATAACTTTTGATATTTAATCGAAAAAATGACAATATTATTATTTTATTTTTTGACATTAATTATATATGTAAAAAAATGTTAGTATTTTTATAAACAATAAAAATACAATGTTGTAATTATACAATAAATTTTTTTCCTAATATGTATCAAAATATTAACATATTTTACTAAATGTTAGTATATGTTATTATTATTATTATTATTATCAATTAGTAAAATAAAATTTTTGAATTGAATTTATTATTATTATTATTATTATTATTATTATTATTATTATTATTATTATTATTATTATTATTATTATTATTATTATTATTATTATTATTATTATTATTATTATCTTTATATTCAATAAATTAATTTTTTAACAAATATTTTTAGTAATATGTTTTTTATTATATCACTACTTTTTATTAATTATAATATTATTATTTTTTTGTAAATTTAATAATATTTAAAATAAAACATTAACTTTATTAATACATTTAGTTATCAATATATTTATTAATATATTTATATAGTATACACAATACAAACAACATTATGGTTAAAAATAAATATAATAATAATACTAATAATATTAATTACTAAATATAAATAATTAGATATTAAATAAAAATCATTTACATAATAGTTATATAGATATGATATATACAAACACAAAATATGATAAAAATAATTTCATTTTAAATACAGTTATTAGACACTCACAGCAAATATATTAAAACACCTAATAATAAAATTATGCAAATACAATATACAGGTATATATATATATATAATAGATATTGTATTTTTATAGCTTTATATATATCTTTATATCGATGTTTTTGTTAGACACATGTATTTGACTAAATAAAAAAACAAAATAAAACATTACCGTTACAGACATACTCAGCCACTCATATAATACATTTAGATTGAGATCCCTGTGCTCTCTACACACCAGTGTCTACACAGTATATATATATATTTTCTATGTGCACACATACTCAATATTACATATACTGGTATATATACTGTAGTAGTATATTATATAATAAATTTATATATATTATAGTATTAAAAAAATTTATGCAAAAATTTATTGTAACAATTGAGTGACTGTGTGTGTGTAAGTGTGTGTATGTGTGTGTATGTGTGTGTATGTGTGTGTATGTGTGTGTATGTGTGTGTATGTGTGTGTATGTGTGTGTATGTGTGTGTATGTGTGTGTGTATGTGTGTGTATGTGTGTGTGTGTGTGTGTGTGTGTGTGTGTGTGTGTGTGTGTGTGTGTGTATGTGTGTGTGTGTGTGTATGTGTGTGTGTGTGTGTATGTGTGTGTATGTGTGTGTATGTGTGTGTATGTGTGTGTATGTGTGTGTATGTGTGTATGTGTGTATGTGTTTGTATGTGTGTGTGTATGTGTATTAATATATTAAATCTAAGTGACTTAGTTGTTTAAATATATAAAGTAAATTGTTTTTATTTTTTTTTATTATATATTATATACTTTATATGATATATATAAAAAACATATAAAAATGCAATTTTAATGTTATAATACATGTTTAAAGCGGTAACAAAATGTTAACATCAACAACAAAAATTTTTTATAAAAATATATACAATAAAAAATATACTTTAGATATATATATTTATATAAAATAATAAATTTTCTATAAATAAAAAATTAATTATTGAAATTTTTTTTCTTTGCATGCATTTTTATATATATTTTTTATTAGTCAATGTATTGGTAAATATGATACAATAATATTTTGTTATTAAGTTTTTATTAAGTATTTATCTTATTTTTTTAAAAAAAGTTAATACACAGCTTAAATTGGTATTGAATTTCTATTATATCGTTATATTAAAAACTTTTATATAATATAAATGATATTTAATCAAATAATAAAATATATATATATAAAAAAATCTTATACTTAGTTAGCGTGTGATTGAATTTTGCAAACACATTATATAATAGCATTAAATTATATATATATTAAATATCTTTCAAAAAAGCAAATATATATATATATATATATATATATATATATATATATATATATATATATATAATACATTATCTATAATATATTAGATGACTTACTAATTATTTAATAATTTTTATTTATTAAATTAAAATATAAGGAATTATATAAAATAATTATTAATATTATATACAGTATATAGTGTTTGTTACTATTTGTTATATTATTATTATTTTTTTAATTCAATGATTGTTGAATTCATATAAAATGTATGTATGTATGTGTGTGTGTGTGTGTAAAAGTATTGTTAAATTGTATAACTGAAAAAATACTGTAGTTTTCTAGTTTTATTTTATATTATTTTCACTGTATTATTATATACAGTTAATCCTTCAATGATTTTCAATTAGTAATTGAAAATTTTAGGCATTTATTGTGTGTGCTATTGAATCGAGAGAGAGAGAGAGAGAGAGAGAGAGAGAGAGAGAGAGAGAGAGAGAGAGAGAGAGAGAGAGAGAATATTCTTGCAAAGTGTATGAGTGTATGTGTGTGTAGCTGTGTGTGTGTACTATCTATATATACACTATTTATAAAACTATAATATATATTGTATTGTATATATTAAGTAATATATATATATATATATTTATATGAAGAGTTTGCGCCACATTTGTTGCAATGAATTTCAACTCATTGTCTATTTTTAATCTTTAACACAATAATACACACACATACACACACACATACACACACACACACACACACACACACACATACATACATACATACATACATACATACATACATACATACATACATACATACATACATACATACATACATACATACATACATACATACATACATACATACATACATACATACATACATACATACATACATACATACATACATACATACATACATACATACATACATACATACATACATACATACATACATACATACATACATACATACATACATACATACATACATACATACATACATACATACACACACACACACATACATACATACATACATACATACATACATACATACATACATACATACATACATACATACATACATACATACATACATACATACATACATACATACATACATACATACATACATACATACATACATACATACACATACTGTACATACACTCATACATATAATACATACATACATACATACATACATACATACATACATACATACATACATACATACACACATACACACATACACACATACACACACACACACACACACACATACATACATACATACATACATACACATACTGTACATACACTCATACATATAATACATACATATACACTAATATAAGTTATATTCAACTCATTTGTTATTATACTTAAGTCCTTTATTTATTTATTTTTTGTATTGTTGCCGAATACTTCAAAATAATAGAAACTTATTTTAGTATTTTAAGTTATTTTTTATTTACTTATTATTATTATTATTACTTTTGTTTGTATGTGTCTATTGTATTATATACTATACACTCATTGAATGTGTTACTAACTATACTAATACTACTAAACAAAACAGCATAAAATACAGCTTATTATATATAAATTGTATTTTAATATTATATATACTAAGTATATAAGATTATATAAATTATAATTACTTATTTAGTCTAATAAATTAAGAAAATTATATATAATTAGGGTATATGTAAATAAAATTGTTTTACTCTTTTTTACAATAAATATTGAAAATTATTATAATATCTATAATTTTCAATATTATACATTTACAATTTTTAAATTAAATAATATATATATATAGTATATAAAATTATCTACGAAATACCATATAAAACAAATATCAATGTAATTACAATATACAGTATCCTAGCATACAGTATACCGGTATATATTTAATAAATACTGTATATATATATTAAATAGTTTCATTAAATGTATTTTTTAAATTTTATTTAAATTGTATTATGTATACAATAAAATATGATATATATATAATAATAATATTGAATATTTAACTAGATGAAAATAGATTTAAAAAAACAATTTTTTATATAAAAGAAATTAATCATTTATTTTAAACAAAAATATATATATATATAAGATATATAATATTATAATAACTACAATAAAGTTTAACTTTATTTCAATTATATTATTATTATTGATTATAAGATAACATACTATTATAATAATATTGAAGTTATATATATATCTAATATTATATAATTTATAAACATTATTACAGTACAGTATTTGGCACCTGTAGTTTTTTAAATTTTTTTATTTATTTTTACATAATAATAACAATAATACTAATTAAATACTTTATAACAAACAGTATAATAATACTGTATAATACAGTAAACAATTTAAAATCCAATAAAACAAAAATTACTTAATTAGATAATCCAATATACAGCACATATAGCATATTTGGTTAGTATATGCTTATGTAGCTTAAGTATGATTTTAACACCTCCCGCACCCCGGCCCCCACCACAACCTACATGGCTTTAATATATGAAAACTTGTTGACCAGTGGCAAACTTGAACAATATTATCGGCCAAATAGGCCACATGGCAAACATAAGGCCCATTAGCCAATCGGTTAGACCATAGAGTATACGATAGGTTAGGCCACGGCGGGAACGTCGGGCAAAATATTCGGGAAGTCCTTTACGTTTGATTACTTGTTGGACGGATTCGTTGGACGGCTTTTTCAGATCGTAGGCCAGTCCTAGGGTGGCATTCATATCGATAAACATGGTGGCCGGGTTGAAAAACTCCCAACACTTTTTCTCACTGGAACTGTAGTCCTAATAAAATAAATTAATTAAAAAAAATTAATTAATTAATTTAAACAAAACAAAAAATAAATTAAACTAAAATTGTGGTACAAATATATTAATTGGAAAATATTATGATTATTATTGACAAAATATATATATATATATATAGATATTTGATTTAAATATTAGTAATAAATATAGTAGTAATAATAATAATAATTAATTAATTAATTAATTTAAACAACAAAACAAACAAAACTAAAATTGTGATACAAATATATTAATTGAAAAATATTTTAATTATTATTATTGACAAAATTTTATATATATATAGATATACTTGATTTAAATATTATTAATAAATATAATATTAATAATAAATATTAGTAATAAATATTAGTAATAAATATAGTAATAATAATAATAACTAATTAATTAATTATATTAGTATATAAATGTATATGATAATAATATAAATTATTTTAGTTTTTTTATAATGATAAAAAATTTTAATATTTATATAGATTTTTTATATGTAAAATTTTCTAACAAATAAAATCAATTACTTAGATTTAATCTAATTTATTATTATTATTATTATTATTATTATTATTATTATTTATATTTAATATGAAATAATTTTATTAAAAAAATTGATATATTTTTTTATATTGTTGACATTGATAATAAAATATAGAAAATTAGTTTTTATATTTTTTATTTTACTTTATTATTATTATTTTGTTAATACAAATAAATAAACAAAAAATAAAAGATGACTATATTATGTATGAAAATTTTATATCTATTTTTAACTTTTTTTTGTACAGTATTTTGTTACATATATTTAAGTATTATCTATATATATATATATATATACTGTATATATAAATTTAAATATTATATACACATTATTAGCTTTTTAACAGTGATTTCTAAGTCAGTGATGTGTTTTATTTGATGATAATATAAATATATTGTATTTTAATACTACTTTATTATATATATATATATAATTAATATAATATCTAATATGTTATATACCGTATTGTAATATAAAAATTTTATTATATTATATATTATTAAAATGCAAAACTCATTCACCATTCAGTCGTGTATTTATTTTTTTATTTTATTTTTACTTTTATTAAATACAATTCTCTTTACTAAATAAAAAAAAGTTAATACTTTTTTATTTATATATAAAAAAACTAAATAAGATATTATTATACTGTTATATACAGTATGTTATATATATATATATATAATATTTAACTAATACTACTAAACAACTACTACTAAAGTAATATAAAATTATTATTATTATTATTATCGTATTGTATTATATTTCATTTTCTAGTTTATTTGATATTATTATTATTATTATTATAGAGCTATTAATATTATAATTTTATTTAGAGAGAGAGAGAGAGAGAGAGAGAGAGATAACTTGTAAATACTATTTTATTTACATATAAAATATATTATACATTATATAATGGTAAAATTGTTGTCTATAATTTTAAAATTTAAATATTTATATTTAATGTAATGAATACTAATATATAGTATTAGTATTGTAGTAGTAGTACTGTATATAATGTATTATTGGTATAATATATATAAAAATGATAATAAATTTTATTTATTTTTTCGGTGAATATCTTGCTTTAACTTATATAATATATAATAATATTTATTACATATATATATAATAAATCCCTTTTACAGTATTATTAAATAAATTGTATTTTAATTTTCATATTTTATACAAACATTATATTTGTTATTTATTACACAATACAATTATGCTGTATATATATTACTGATTTAATATAATTATGAAAATAAAATTAAATGTTTAGTTGTATTGTTAAATATTAGATTTTTATTAACGTTAATAAATGAAAAATATTTAATTACATTTGATATTACTTATATATAAATTTTACAAAAATGTTTTTAAAATAAAAAAATAAAATAATTTATAAATACTGCATAACACAATAAATTGGGACACAATAAATACTGTATATTAGTTTATATAAACTTTATTAGTATATAATATAGTTTAATATAAAGTATTTAAGCAATAATAATAATAATAATGAAAAATTATTTATTATTATCACTATGCAAACAAAAATTAGCAATTTATTTATTTAACTTTATTTGTTGTTATTTTAAGCCTATTTTAGCTTTTAAAAAAAATTTTTGTAATTGTTTCAGTAGTAATCGTATCATAAATATAATGTACTTTATATATATATATATATATATATTGATATTAGAAATTTAAATTAGGAAAATTAATTAAATCCTCTAGAAGTTAGCAATAATTAATTTTAAAATTAAAAAAAATTCTAGTTATTTATCATGTAATAAATTTTTATAATATAGCTTAAAAATATAATATAAATTGAATATATTAGTAATTCTCAAATAAATTATAAACATTTTTAATAATAGCAATAATAATAATAATTATTATTATTAGTATTATTATTATTATTAGTTTTTAGTTATTAATATATATATATAATTAATTAGAAATATGTTAATTCCATATTATCCTAGATTATTACAAAAATATTTATTGTATATAAAAATTTATGATTAATATTTAAATACTAGAATTTAATTTTTCTAATAAAAATAATTTATTAAATAATAATAATAATAATAATACTGCACTTAAAACTATACACTATTTAAATCTATGTTAAAAACATTTTAATATCTATAATATTCATAGGCTTATAAATATTTATATATTAATCTATAATTATTATTTTTTCATTAAAATCATCTTAAAAATCATTATTATTATTACTTTTGATCTCAATTTTTTTATCTGTCTATAAATATTTAACTATATATATATTACTTAATAATAATAATAATAGTTTATAAAAATTTATAAAATTAAAAATTAAAACAATATAATATGCTTACCATTGGAAATGTATGATGATAGTTATGTGAACCTGGTAGAATAGATAGTTATGTAAAAATTAATTTTTGTTTAAAAAATTAAAATTGCATTTTAAAATAAACAGTAAACATTTATATGTATTAAAATGTAAAAATGTAAAATATAGCCTCTATTACAATTTTAAAAAAATTATTAAATTAATAATTAATTAGTAGGTATATCAAATGAATTAATTTATACTAATGTGTTAATAATTTTTTTAATTTTTTTTATAATAATAATAATTATTTATTAACTAATAATTTTTTTTGACACTATTTGTTTGATTTTTTTTGACACAAACTTTATATAATATTTATATACAATATATACGCTATATATTATACAGTAAATTATACTAATAACTAATAAATGATTATAATTTTAGATATCTAACAAAAAAAACTAATAATCAATAAAATAATTTTGTCGATAAAATAAACTAATAATTTGTGTGTGTTTTTTGGGGTTATATTATATTAAATTATTATAATATAAAGGTTAGGTTAGGCAAAAAAATATATTCAATATACAATATATATATATATACTGTATAATAATTATATTTAATATATTAACCGACAATCACTTTATCTTTTTGAGATAAAGCAAAATCATCACTTAATTTAAAAATCAATATACAGTATATACTGAATATATAAACCAAAATAATAATAATAATAAAATATTATTATTATTATTATTCTCACATTCATAAACTAGAAAAAATATATATACAGATTTTTTTTTGTTTATCAATTTTTATACTTTAATAATAATAATAATAGCAATGCATTAGCAATAAATAATAAAAAATAAAACATTTTTTTTATTATTTGCTTACATCAGCACTCTAGTAGGCCATCCCCTCCCCTCTACACCCCTGCCTTACCTCTGGGCAATACTACTACTACTACTACCTTTCCTCCCCCACCATAAAAAAATAATATCAAAAAAAAATTTAAGTAAAGTAAAAAAAATTTTGCGCAATATTTTTCTTAAATTTTTTATTACAGTATTATAATTATTATATGATTACTATTTTTTTGTCTCATCTAATAATATACAGTATAATATAATAATATAAAATAATATATATATATAAAAAATAATAATAATTTGTTTGTACTATTAATAGTATTATATATTTAGTAGTATTATATACAGTAATATTGTAGATACTATACTGTCTATTGTTTTTGTGTGTGTATGGCATCAAACAATTTAATGACTATATATTGTATGATTAGTTTAGGTATTAAATTAAGTTATTATTTTAGGAGATTATCTATCGGTTAACCATTAGATCCTTGAGCTGTAAAAAACAAAACACACTCTCTCTCTCTCTCTCTCTCTCTCTCTCTAAGTAGTCTATATTTGTACAGAAAATTCAATATAATATATCTATATATATATACAGTATATATATATATATATATAGTGAGTGAGTGAGTGAGTAAGTAAATGAGAGACAGTATTACTAAATTAATAACAGTATTATTATACTCTCTCTGTGTATACATATATATGTTGTTTGTGCCCAACATTGTTGTTGAGATCAATCAATTAAAGTCAACACAAATAACATTATATTATATAAGACACACACATACATACATACACAGTATATACTGTATATATAAAAACACTGTAATAATATGTTATACATTAAAACAAATAAAAAGGCCGGGTATTAATAAAACACTGATATAGACACATACATACATACATACACACACATACATACACACAATAACTAATCCGATAATAAAACATCATGAATAAGGGCGGCTCAGCCCTATTGAAATGGACAGTTAGGATATGATAAAAATAGTCGTCAATTGCATGTAATGTACAGTATATTACAGTTAATAAAATAGAGTACAAGTGCTATACATACCCTCACCCATCGATAAGTAAACGACTAATCGATTTTCAGTGGGTCTCATCTCATTGTTGTATGGCCTACAAAAAAAAATCAAAATTATAATAATTTATAGTAATATTTTCATAAAATTAATTATAAATTAATTTTAAATAAAATTTATCAAAAAAAACAAATTAATAACAACAACAAAACTTAAATATATGTTATTATTATTTTTTTTTAAATAATAAACATTTATCTATGATTTAATTAAATATTATTTAAATTAAAAATAATAATAATACTGTATACTAAAATATATTAATATGAAAATATTTTTAACATATTTTTTTTATTTTATAAAAATTATATATATATAAAAAAAATATTTATATATATATTGGACGTTATCTAAAAAATTATAAATGACAGTTTATTTTTGTTTGAATAGATTTTATTAAATTTATTTTATTTTATATATTTTGTTGTTGTTTTGTGTAAAAAAAAGCTTTTTAAAAATTACATATTTTTTTTGTTTAAAAAAAATCTAATATTATTTATAAGTCTGTATTATATATAATATTATAAATAAAAGCTTTAAACATTTTTTTTAAATACCCAATAGAATAGTTGTCTAGGTAAGTTATTATTATTATATAAAAATTACTATTATTATTATTATACCAAAAATAATTAAAATGCCATTATAATTTATAATATTTTTTTGTTACTAAAATCTAAAAAAAATTTATAATATATAATACTTTACTAGTATATAATATTTATATATATATATATATATATATCTTTAATAATAAATTAAATATAATATAATTTACATATATATATAATAATAATAATATAATAATAATAAGTCTAATAAAATAATGCACTTCAATAATTTAATATAGCTAACAAAAATACTATATATATATATATATATATATATATAAATTGATCTAGATAAATATTTTATGATTTTAGTTTATATATATTTTCTAGTTTAGTATTTTCAATAGAAAGTTGTTTTATAAATAGATCTATTGATTTATATTATAAATACCAGAATATACAGTACTATATATATATATATATATATATATATATTAAAATTATAAAAATAATTAATAACTAATCTTATAAATTTAGTGACTGTAAAAAACAAAATATTTTAATAATAATTATAATAATAATTTGCTATTCAATACACTATATATATACTAAAGTGTTTGATAATTAAGTCACTGTTAATTTCACACATGAATTGTAATAAAATAAGTGAACAATTTTTTGGTATTAAATATATTTTTTGCATATTATTATTATTATTATTTCATATTATATGTGTGCGCAATATGTGTATATAATTTATATTATTAAAACAAAAAACAAAAACAATACACTAACACATAAAGTGTATTAAAATTAATACATCAATTAGTTTCTATTCATTGAATCTAATTTATGATAAATTAATGGATTTTATAATTAAAAAAAAATATATAATAAAATAATAATAATATTTTTCTGTTATTTATAATTAAATCTCTATTAATAATAAATATAGTAATAATAATAATAACATTAATGATAATTAGCAAAAAAATAAATAAAAATAAATATATTTTTCAGATTTTAGTTTTTTAAGCGTAATTATTATATAATTAAAAACATATAATAATTTATTTTTATAATAATATGATAATTAAAATAATTATATATATATATATATATATTATAATTCAAATGTAATATTTAATAATTATATTTTTAATTAAATATTAAATTATTAATTAAAATTTAATTTTTCATATAATAATAATAATAATAATACAAACACTTACCGATCGCCCCAAAAATGACTGACAGAGTTAACTGTAAACAAATGATGCAAAACTACGACTGTCCTCAAACAGCCGCACACCAGGAAAGCGGTCAACAGGTTTTCCTGCCAACAATAATAGGGTACGAGTGTCGGTACGGCAAATCCGAGTATGATAACTAACGGTAAATATAGCCGATGTTGCCATCGGACTACCCAATCGCCCAGTAGATCATCAAACGATAGTTTCTGGCCAGCCTGGATAACTTCGGGTCGTTTTTTCAACATCCACCAACCAATGTGGGCGAAAAAGAAACCGCGGGACGGGTTTTTCGGATCGGCATCCGTTTCCGACCATTTATGATGTGTCCGATGATCGCGAGCGTAGCTAAAACACGACCCGTTGACGGTCATCGTCTGGAAAATGGCCAAAAATATTCGTAACGGTAGCCGTGCTTTGAACGCCCGATGAGCCCACAGTCGATGTGCGCCGACCGACATACCGAAACCGGAAAAAGCGGCCACTGCCGATACAAATACCAGTGTCCACAGTTTGACCGGTGCCTGGAGTGCATGAATGTACGACCACAGGGCCAGACCGTGCAATATGGCCAACCATATGACGTTTGTCCATTTAATTTGGCCGAACTCGTGGCCAAATATTAGCAGCCGTTTCGATGGTGTTGGCGGCAAGGGTTGGCCTTTTTGGTCTGTAGTTGGTTTGACAACGACATCGACGACAACAGCCGTATCGATTGATTGTTGGTCACCACCACTACTACCGGTGCTACCCGTACTGCTGCCGCACTCGCATTTGTCCAGTGAATCTATATCGTAGTCACCATTGGGATCGTCATCCCGGTGCTGGTATTCAACAATTTTTGGTGCCATTTAGTGGTTGTTATTAATAATAATTATTAAAAGTTTTTATTTTTTTTGTTTGTTTTTGTATTGTTTCAAAAATTTTGATATATATTTGTATTAAACATCACTTATTTTTAAATTAATATTTTTTTAAAACAATAAATAAATATAAAGTTTATATAGTTTGAAATAATAATTTGTTTGTTTTTTTTGTAAACAAATATAAACTATTTAATACTAAACAAAATATATATATATTTATTAAACACTTACAAAAAAACTTATTATTTTTTTAATATTAAATATATATTTCACAAAATTAATGTACACTAGGATTACACACAAACACACCTAAAAAAATAAACTTAAAACACACACAAAAATTATTTATACAATATTTGTTTATTTAGTTGAAGAAAATTTTCAATTATTAAAAAGTTTTTTTTTTTAAAAATAATATTATATATTAATAGACAAACACACGGATGAAAAAAACCATTTATCTTTCACTTTCAATATCTATGGCTTAATACTGTATTAATAATAATAATACAGTAATATGTGGTTTGACTTCACATACATACAGAAAAAAATATATAAATAAATATAAATATAAAGTAGTTATTAAAAAATAAAAATAAAAGTTGTTTTAAAAAAAAGTTTACGACAACTTTTTTTTATGTTATAAATAAAAACTTATTAGTAATAAGTTATTACTATTACTAAACACCCGGAACTGTAACTTACAAATAAAATTTACAAACAAAAATAAAATTGTAGTAAAAGTTGTTTTCAAAAATTTAGTTAACAACAAAAAAACCAAAAATAATAATAATAATAATAATAATAATAATAATAATAATAAATAGGAATTAGTTGTTTAAAACCAGTAAAAACATAATAATGATAATAATAATAATACCAAAAAAAAACTATTTAATAAAACTTGTTATAAATCATAAGTGAATTTTTAATTAGTTTTATTATTTTAATTTTTTTTTTATTAAAAAGTCATTGTAAATAAAACATTAAAATCAAAATTATTAAGTGATTTTATCTATTAAATAGAAATTATTAGTATTATTTAATTTTTTTCAATCAATATATAAACTTTATATCTGTAATAATTTAAAAAAATATATTTTGAATATAAATTATTGTCTACTATTGTTACTACAAAATTGTTATTACAATTACAAAACACAATTACAAGTAGACCTCAATACTTCTAATAAAAATTAAAGTACTTTACTCTATGAAAATGTTAAGTAAAATCCAAAAATTAAAAACTAAAACTTAAAGCTCATATAAATCAATGAAACATTTATTTATTTTAAATTTATTTAAATTTTTTTTTAAAAATATTATAATTATTATCCGAAAAAAAATTATAAAACTAAATAAATATATTAATTTCAGTTTCTTAATTATAATAATAATAATAATAATAATAATAATAATAATAATAGTAATAACAAAACTGGAAATCATTGAAAAAGATTTCTTTGCTATCCATAACCCAAAAACCTATTTTAGGATATATTATATTATACTGTAGTTTATATGACTGTATATATATATAAATAAATTTAATTTAATTTAATTTAATACATTTACAGTTTAAGAGAGAGAGAGAGAGAGAGAGAGAGAGAGARAGAAAGAAAGAAAGAAAGAAAGAAAGAGAGAGAGAGAGAGAGAGAGAGAGAGAGAGAGAGAGAGAGAGAGAGAGAGAGTTGTTATTAATAAACAAATAAAAAAACTAACAAAACGTGTTTATCGCCTAATATTGTTATAAAAATTTGGGAATTTTTTTATATCTGATAAATAATAAACATTAAATTTTATTAATAATTTTTATTTATTATTATGAAATTTGTACACAAATTTTTTTTTTGAAACAATACTTATAAAAAAAATATTAATGGAATATATATATATATATATAACATATAACAAACATATTATATGTTATTAAAATTATAAAAAAAAGTTTATAAAAAGCTACACTTTTGTCAACATTGTTGTCAAACATTTTGATAAAAATTATAGCTTTAGGTGTAAAATAAAACTAAAAAAGATTGTTTCTAATAATAATAATATGTTTTTGATTTTCATTAAAAAATTTTGTAAAAACTAACTATTTTTATTTATAATATACTTTAAATAATATTACCGGGAGTGACAAAAATCTATGCTAATTAACAAACAGTTGGGTTTATATATATATATATATCATACTAACCGGTAATCTCTTCATAAACTGTATATAACTTTATATATATATATACAGTATTTATAGACTACCTGTGCTTTATACCTCACTAACATACATAACAGTGTCTATGCGGTCAATAAACTAACAGTGCTGGAAAATATAATATTAAAATAATAATAATAAAACTATATATATATACAAACAAAAATAAAATGAAAATTTCTATATTATTTTGCATCAGACGCTATATAAATATATATATATTACTGTGGCAAATATATTTCGAGACAAATTGTAATATGAAAACTTAATAGATTTTTCTGCATTCGGTTTAATAATTAAAAATTATTTTTTTATGGTATTAAATAGTAGAGATATTCATTATTATTGTTAATTTTTAAAAATATTTTATAGTATACTAATTAAAGTTTTATAATGCTACAAAATTAGTAACCTCTATTTTTAGAATTGTATAATTTATAAAATCTAAGAAAAACTATTAATCCTGATAAAATAATAAAAGTATTTTTATTTTATTAGATTTCTGACAATTAAAGAATTATTTATGAAAAATTACAAAAAAATACAATTTATACTTATTTCTAAAAAACGAAAATAAATTTTAAAATGTTTTTGTTATTTATTAAAATTGGATTATTCTAATAAATTTTTTAAAATGATTAAATATTATATTATGTTGCCTGCTTTTAAGAAAATAATAAAATAATTTTTTATTATTGACGAAAATACCAAACATTATTAAAAATTAAAATTGTGCTATTTTGGAAGACAAATTTAGACCTAATTTTAGATAAAATTATTTATTAAAAATTGTAAGCATTTGATAAACTTACTGATTTTTACTAAAAAATAAACATCAAATATTACTCTTTAAAATTAATATTTTTTTGTTTAAATTTATTTTTATTTTAAACATAAAAATATCAAAAAAGATTACTGTTTTAAAATGTCATCTATCAAATATTTTTGTAAATAATTCCGAAAACTTTTTAGACAAAGATATTAAACTACTATTATTTTGATAAGTGATAATCATAGAAAATATGTACATTAAAACAAAAATATAAAACATTCTAATATTCGAATTATTTTAGAAAAACTTAGTACAAAGATTCTGTCTCGAAATTTATTAGCCACAGTAATATATGGTTTGAATGGTTTGAAACTGGTTTTTAAATTTTTGAAACAAAATAATAATAATAATAATAATTACTTTCACTCTAAATATATTTTTAATTGACTTTCACTCATAAGTTATTATTATTATTATTATTACAATGATTACAATAACGAAAAAAAAATTTTTTACTTCCCTTTTCACGAATTCCTGAAAGGAATCCGTATATGCATTCTATAAGTCGGTCTGTCTGTCTGTCTGTCTGTCGGTCTGTCGGTCTGTCGGTCTGTCGGTCTGTCGGTCTGTCGGTCTGTCGGTCTGTCGGTCTGTCGGTCTGTCGGTCTGTCGGTCTGTCGGTCTGTCGGTCTGTCGGTCTGTCGGTCTGTCGGTCTGTCGGTCTGTCGGTCTGTCGGTCTGTCGGTCTGTCGGTCTGTCGGTCTGTCGGTCTGTCGGTCTGTCGGTCTGTCGGTCTGTCGGTCTGTCGGTCTGTCGGTCTGTCGGTCTGTCGGTCTGTCGGTCTGTCGGTCTGTCGGTCTGTCGGTCTGTCGGTCTGTCGGTCTGTCTGTCCCACGAGGACATAGGTTCGAATCCAGGCTCAGCTACGATTTTTTTTTTGTTTTTTTTATTTTTATTTATTTTTTTTATTTTTTAAGTTTATTTTTAAGCAAAAAAAAAACAAAATGGAGTCCAATAATTAATAAAATTTTTTTTTTTTTTTTAAATTTTTTTAAAAGTTTATTTTTTAGGAAATTGAAGAAAATGGTGTCCAAAAATTATTTAAAAAAATTTTGAATTTTTTTTTGAATTTTTTTGAAAATTGATTTTTTATTTTTTTCGTTTTTAAGTTTATTTTTTAGGAAAATAGTAGTTTATTTTGTAATACTGAATTATTTGATACCCCACATGACTATAGTTGTTTATTTTGTCATACTAAATCGTTTGATACCCTACATAACTATAGTTGATTTTATTTTATCATACTGAATTTAATTTTTAATTATGATTAGGAATTCGTGTGGAAATGCTTTCTAGCATTCTCAACTGGTTAATATTATATTATAGATATAATAATAAAATTATTTTTTTTGAGCATATATTTTTACAGTTAATTATTTAAACCCATTAAATAAGCAAAAAATTATGATTACTATTATTATTATAATATATAATTTTTTATACAAACTTTATTATTATAATTAAATTAGCTATAAGTTTATTAAAACAAAAAATAATTTTTTTTGTAGATTTAATATTTCTATACATAAGTAGATTAATAATTGTTTATATAAATCAAAAATCAAAATATATTATTAATAGCAAATTTAATCTAAATATATATTAATTTATTTTTTTTAAAAATCACTAAATACTCAATATTTTTTTAAAATTACTAATTTAAATTAAACTATTTAATTTAATATAATTATAAAATTAGATAAATTTAGAATATAAATGAAAAGTTTTTTATAGTTAATTAATTAAAATGTTTTACAATAATTATATAAATTTTATTGTATTTTAAAAACACTATATTTCTAAATAAAAATTTTTAAAATGTATAATTTATATTAATTATTATATTATTATAGTATAATATATTGTTTGTTATTATAATAAAATTTTTTAATTTATTAAAATAATAAAATTTCTATTAATTATAATTTATTAAACATTATTATTATTATTGTGTTATCATTTAACTTACCCACTCATACATGATATGCTTAAACAAAATACAAACAAAATATTAAACCAAAAAATATAATAAAAATAAAGACAATGCCATTTAAAACAAAATTTTTAAAATTGAAAAATAATTTTAAACAACATTTTCAATTTGTTTAAACGATTATTTTTATGTTAATATTATTTATTATTTTTTAAGTTATTGATAATTGACCTTTATGTTAAATTTATTAAAATTTTAAGTAATGTTTTTAATTTAATAAAAAAAATTGTATCAAAACTATACATAAGTTTCAATATTTTATTATTATTATTAATTTAATTAAAAAAAAATTAAAATTTTTATCAATATATTGATATAAATTTATTTAAATTAGAGGTCAAACAATAATTTATTAATTTTTTTTAGTTAAATATATAATAAATAAAATTATTATTTACCAAAAATTTGTCTGTTTTGTAATCAAAATTAAAAAACAAAACAAATAAAATAAATAGTTTTGTTATTAATATTTTTATTGCTGATACTTATCTTAATTAACAATAATATAAAAATTAATGTCAAAATTAATAATTTCATGGTTAACCAACAAAAAAAATGATAACATTTCATAATAAATATCATTTATTTGATTTATTTAATTTTCACAATAAATTTTAAACAATTAAGTATTTAGCTATTATTACTATGTTTTTAAATAAAAATTTAGCAAGATACTATTACTAATTTTTTTATTGATATAATAATATAAAACATTACAATAGCATTTAATTAATTGTTTTTTAAATTTCTAATTAAATTATTTTTTTTATTATTAATTATAATTAAATTTTTTAAGTTAAATTATAGTTAAATATATTTAAATATACAAATATAAAAATTTATTCTAAATAAATAAAATTACAATAAAAATGTTTTTTATTTATTTTTTTTAATTTTTTGCATACATTTTCATCAGTTCATATTATAAATTGTAAACATAAATAATCATAATTATTATTATTATAAACAATTATTTAGCTTTAAAAAAAACTTTTTAAACAAAATTATAATATTAACTTATCATATAAATAATTATGTATTTTAATTTCAAAAAAAAATTAAAACTTTAATGTTTATAATTGAATAGTTTTTCAATTAATTATACAATAATATAACGTAATTGTAATTCAAATAATATATAATTTTTTTAGAAATACTAAAAATCACAAAAAAATACAAAAAAAAATCAAAAATTAAAATATGCAAAATTATATTTTAAATAATAATGATTTATAATAATAATAATAAATATAATAATATTACCGTAAAAATTATAATTATTTTTTTAGATAACATAAGATATGTATATTTTTTTGAAAATAAATGTATTGTTAAAGTAAAATACAATAATAATAATAATAATATAATTATTAAATACACAAAAAATATTAGACACAAATATTTTTTTTGTAAAAACATATAAAAACAAAACAAATATGAAATATAAATTATAATAAAATAATAATAATAAAAATAATAAGCACTGGTATCTAATATTTGTGTGGAAACTGTATCCTAATATACCTGAATAATACTGTAACGAAAACACCATACGGTAATATTTATTTTGATTTAAAAAAAATTAAATAATAAATCCAAAATACCTGTGCTATAGATATATAGTATGTGTTGGGATAGCCAGCACACACCTACTCCTATACACCTATACACCCACACACACACACAAGTTATTGGCACACATTTTTTAATATTGATATTAATTTATAATAATAATGTTATTGGGATTATAGTGTCGACAGATCCGACACTACAATCAGGTGCCGGCCGGTAGCCAACTTGAAAACTAGGAAAATCCATACGGGCCACATGGCTACCGCTAGGCCGGCCATCCAGTCGCCGATACCCATCACTATACGTGTCAATAGGGATCGCTTAAGTTTACGTTCAAAATAATCGGGGTCACCCTTACGCTGGATGACACCCTGGACAACCTGGTGACTGGGTTTTTTGAGATCGTAGGCCAAACCTAACTGTTTGCATATGTCGATGAACAGTGTCGACGGATTGAATACTTCCCACCATTTTTTCTCGCAATTAGCGTAATCCTAATAATATTAAAAAATAATATTAAAATTAATAATAATAATATAATTGAAAAATTAATATTCACAAAAATAAATTATAATTATATATAAAACTAAAAATATATTCAAACATATATATTTTGTTAATATAAATAATTTATATAATTTTTTGTTGTTTGTTTAGCATGCTTATTATATTATTATTATTAAGTATCATTATTATAATTTTGATTATTATTTATTTAATTATTAGTATTTTTTATTATTAATAATAATACAATACCATTGGAAACGAGTGATGATAGTTGTGTGAACCTGGATGATATTTTCAAAAAATAAATAAAAATAAATAAGATATTATTAATTGTTATTTCAATATAAAAAAAATTATATTAAATAATTATTAACATATAAATTATATATTAAGTTATAATTTAATTTTCAAATACATTTCCCTCTAGTGACTAACATTTAAATTAGATTTTAAATTATTATAAAAATAAGTTATACTTTGAATAAAATGATTTTATTGTTAATAATTGTTTGTAAAAAATTGTATTAATTATAAATTTGATAATTTTTTCAACAACAAAAAATTAGCATACCTTCACCGAGGCTGAGGTACATGGTCAGTTTACTTTCAGTGGGACCGATACCCTTATCATAGGGACGCTTACCTATTAGATAATTACAATAAATAATTAATTAATTAAATAAATTTATAAATTGTATAATAAATTATTATTAATATTATAATACAAACACAACTTTTTTTGTTTAATATTTAATATAATATATTTTTTTATAAATAATATTTTTTTTAATAAAATTGTTAGAAAGTTAGTAAAGTTTTATATTATAAATAGAGATTATAAAATTAATTTTTTTTTTGAATTATTGTAAAATATAATTATTATTTTATATTTAAGTAAATAATCGGCTTATAAATAAATGTAAAAATTAATGTTTATAACAGTCTATCAAAAAAATAATTAAATTTTTTTAAAAGTATTGTTATATATATTGTATTACTATTTTGTTGGTTTCTATAAAAATTAAATATAATAATAATTTTAAATAATAAAACAAATTTTTAAAAAATTATTTAATAATTAATAATGATTTTTGATTTAAATCTATGATTATCAACAAATATATATTTAATAGTTTTTAAAGTTTTACATAAATTTTAACAAACATTTCAATTATGATTTTTAAATTAAATATTACCCATAAATTTATTAAATATAATATATATTTTTCATAGTATTTAAACTATTAGCAATGTCATTTTTTATTATTATATATTTATTTATACAATACCATATGAAAACAAGTAGGGCACAAAATTTTTTATTGTACTTGATAATTTATTCAATGATAATTAATTACAATATCGTTGTCTAAGTTAATTATAAAATTATTATTTATTAAATTTATAGCTTCAAGTTTATATGTTTGAAAAAATATCATAGTTTTTTTTAATTTTCAATTAAAACTCAAATAAATTTCATAGAAAAATTAATTTAATTAGATATTAAAAACAAATTATATTTATTTTAGTTTAATAATTTTTTTAGATAAATAACTAAATTGCATAATAATTTGTTGTTTAAATATGAAAAATCAATAATAATAAATAATCTATACATTACTTTACTTGAACATTTTTTTAAAAAAAAATAAACATAATAATTGATCGATGCTTGTTAAAATCTAATAAATCAATCTAGAACAATTACTATTATATTTACTATTATTATTATCATAATTTTTGTATTTTTTAATAATCTTTAACTAGATACAATCAATTATTTTTTTAAAAAAAATTATAATAAAACTAAATATAATTTAATTTAAATACATATATAATATGTGTGCAATCAATTAAATAGTAATACTAATAATAATAATTATTATTATTTATATGCTTATTATGATTATTATAGAAATTTTTTAAATTTACCTTGAAATCACATGAGTTATATAAAACTAATTATTATTTTTTATTATTATTTAATATTGTTTCTTGATACTATTGTTATTTACTGTTTATTGTTATAATAAATTGTTTAAATACAGTTATTATTTAAGTTATTATTTAATTTAAAACTATTTTTGTTTTGTTTTGTTCAAATAAATTTTTATAATAATTATAATATTTATTAGTGTTTTAAATAATTAAATTGTTTGTATTTAAAAAAAACTAATAGTAAGTGTAATTCAAGGCTATTATACTAATTATTGTTACTATTTTAGATTTTTTATAAAAATTTTTATTCACAAAATTAATAATATTGTAGTCTCTCTCTCTCTCTCTCTCTCTCTCTCTCTCTCTTTCTCTCTCTCTCTCTCTCTCTCTCTCTCTCTCTCTGAAACAATTAATAGCTAAACAATAATATTATAAACTATATTATATTTTTTTAAATAAATAAATTGGCCAAAATAATTTCTCATAGATGTTTACATTAATTAATTAATTAATTGCAATTAGTTCATTGAATTATTTAACCTAAATAATTTGGTTAATTAATTATTTTTAAAAAAAAATAATATTTCATGGTAAATTACTTATTATAGAAAAATTAATATTTATAATAATAAATTTAAACTGTATAAATTAACATGTTTATCATAATGTATATATAAATTTAATTAAATAAAATAATATATATATGAAAATTCATATTTAATTTTTTATTTATTTTCCCATAATATTAGAGATAACATAACTTTTTAGACTAAACAACAAAATAAAAACTTAACAAATTAGTGTCAAACACATACATAAATATATTAATAAATACATAAATGTATACAAAAAAATTGTCAATCATTTAAATAAATAAATAACCAAAAATGATACAAACATTTCAACCGTATGTTATATAACATTATAATACATTATTATAATAAAATAATTTTTGTTATATACTGTATAAAATTGTCATCAAATTATTTTTTATGGGTCAACTAAAATAAATACATATTTATATACATATATATTAGTTTATATATGTAAATAATTTTGTAGATAAGTTGAAGTTAAAATTCATTTATTATTATTAATATTTTGTAATTTTTATTTATAATACTAATAATTGTTGAATAAAAATATTCATTGATTTTTTTTACTGATAGCCTCTAAATGTCAGGAAAAATCAAATATATATATAAAGAATATATATATATATTATATTATATGTAAAAATAAATAAATAAGATTATTATAATTTTTTAATTATTTTTTTTAGACAATTTTATAGATAAAAATTTTCAAATATATATATATTTATTTAAATACTGTATTATAATCACTCACTAACTATCCCTCCCATAGACTCCCCTATTGTCAGATAATTTATAACATATATAGTCTATACTAATACTACTGTATGTACTGTATATTACCTCTAGGCTCGGGTATCCCCTATTAATATTATTATTATATACAGTAATTATTAGGAGTATATACTGTATATATATATATATATACAGTATAAACTAGTCTATCAACTACAACAAAAAAAATTAAACTAATAATTTTCATAAACGATTTTTCCTAATATCTAAAAATCATTTTTTAAATAATATATTAATCATATAAAAAAAATTTTATGTTATGCAACCCATCAATAACACACACACACACACAAAACTATAAAAAAAATTACAGTATGATAAAAATAAAAGTGTCTAGTACAACTACTGCTTCAAATGGGGTACATAACTAAATAGGTACATAAGCACCGGGATTTCCCCCTCCCCTATGTGGTCTATCTACCTGAGCCGTGTGTGTGTGTATACTATAGTAGTCCCATTAAAAAATATACAGATTCATTTAAAAATGATTATAAAACAATTTACATTAAAAAAAATAAATTACAGTAAATTCAAGGTTAATTTTTACTATTACTATCATAATATTATTATTATTTTATATTAATCAAATCTACTAGAGCACTAGTAGCTAATTTATATGGACACACTAGTAACCCATTAAGTTTTTTTTCAATAAAAAAAATTATTAGTATGTTTAACATAATATTTAATTCAAATAATTTAAGCTATAGTATTAAGTTGATAATTTTATAGTTATAAAATTATTATTAAAAAAACAAAATTTAATAATGATAATAATAATAATATAATTGATGTCAATATATTATATATTTTAAATATTAATATTATTTTTTGTTCAGTAATTCATATATAATATTTTATTTAAATATTATTATTATTATTATTATTAATATTATGTTATTTTCTACGGTTAATGTATAACTTTTAATAATATATTCAAATAATTTAATAATAATAATATGTTTCTAAATATATGACTATTGTAATCAAATAAATAAAAAAAAATATTTAGCAAAAAAATATAATATTATATAATAATAAATATAAAAACAAAATTAAAGTTAGATTAATAATAATAATAAAATTATTTAAAAACGTTATATTTATATATGCATCGAAAAATAGTTAATTTAAGCCTATAATTTAAATAATAATTATTATTATTATATAATAATTGAATTTTAAAAATATGTTTTTGTAGTTTAATAGACCTTATCATTAATCATTAATAAAAAAAAATTAATACTAACATTTGATTTTAAATTATAGCTAAGAGTAACTAAATAAATAAATATTAAAAATATTATTATTATATCAAATATGATTTATAAACTATTTTATATTAAATAAAAATAAATAAATAATCATTAATATTGTATTAATAATATTGATAATAATAATTATATCAAAAAAATTTTAAATAATAAATCTTACTATTTTGACTTAGATTATAACTATGGATTAAAACATTATTGAAAAAATGTTGAAAATATAAAATTTATATTATAAATAATAAATTTTGATAAATAATATTAAAATAAAAAATTAATAAATAAAGTAAATAATATATTATAATACTATGAAATTGAAATTTTAGAAACTATTTTGTTTACTAGTAATCAAATAGTAATTTACAAAATAAAATAATATTTAAATTTATTATTGATTATTTTGATTGAAAATAAAAACAAAAATAAAATTAATTTTAAAACTCTAACATAAAAATACTTTTTTTTATTTCTCTCACTCACTCACTCACTCAATCAATCATTAAATAAAAATAATTTTAGTTTAATTTTTTACACACACAGACACACACACACACACATATATATATATATATATACACATACACACACATACACACACATACACATACATACACACACATATATATATATACACACACATACACACACATACACACACATATACACACACATACACACACACATACACACACACATACACACATACACACACATACACACACATACACACACATACACACACATATACACACACACACATACACACACACATACACACATACACACATACACACATACACACATACACACATACACACATACACACATACACACATACACACATACACACATACACACACACATACACACACATACACACATACACACACATACACACACATACACACACATACACACACATACACACACATACACACACATACACACACACATACACACACACATACACACACATACACACATCACAAACTACACTTACCGATAATATGGGCGATAGAGTTGACAGTAAACAAGTGGTGCAAAGCTATGACAGTCCTGAGTACGACACACACCCACAGTGTTGTCTGCAAATCTTCGCCCCAGACATAGTAGGGTACAGCCATCGGAAACAGTATGGCCCATACAATGACCATCGGATAGTACCACCTGTGCTGCCACATAACCAACTGATCTTCATGAAGATCCCGGTGCGTCAGTTTGCGGCCATACTCGATGACCATCGGATGTTTGCGTACACACCACCAGCCAATGTGGGCGTAGAAAAAGCCGCGCCGGGCGTTTTTCGGATCGGCATCCGTATCGACAAACTTATGATGATTGCGATGATCGCGGGCATAGCTATAGCAGCTGCCGTTGATGGCCATCGATTCGGTAATGACCAGAAACAGTTTCAACAGCCAACGGGCTTTGAACGCCCGATGAGCCCATAGCCGATGACTGCCGGCACTGGCACCGAATGCCGAACCGCAAGCCAGTACTACCGTCCAGATGGCCGTCCATAGCATAACCGGATTGAGCAATGTGTAGCCGAAGCCGTAGATGGCCAGCGCATGGATGAACAGTAGCCATAGGATGTTAAACCATTTGAATTGCGATAGTCGGCGACCAAAACATAGTATACGGCCTTTAGTATCGTTATTGGCATTGCTGTCATCATTAGCATCAGCAGCAGCAGCACCGGTATCTACTGGTTGACCACTGGTAGGTATACGTAATGTTGGTTTACAATCAGTAGTTATATCTATCGTTGTTGATGTTGTATTAGTTGTATAGTCTAGTGATTGTAGTTTTTCATCCAGAGCTGCCTCCTGTTCCCAAATTTCTTCAGGTATTTCATTATCATCGAGAAAACGGCTGTCCTTTAGGTTGTTGTTGTCGGCAATGATGTCGACAACAACTATAGGTTGGTCTAAACCTTGACGACTAACGTATTCAATAGTCGGACAGTTGGTTGTCATTGATGTCGTTTTTGTATCAGTTTTGTCACATTTTTGACTATTTTTCTGATTATTTAATTTATTATTATTATTATTATTATTATTATTACTATTTGTCATTTTTGTTGTTTAATTGACTGTTTTTGATTGTAATAATATTTTTATCGTATATTATAAAACTTTTTAAAAAAGTTTTTTTTACTAAAAAAAAAGTTATCTTCTATTTGTTTGTTTTTATCCCCAAAAAAACAAAATAAAAATTTCTAACGTTTTTTTTTCTCTCATAAATTTTTCTGTAAAACAAAACACATAGAAAATTAAGTAATTAAATAAACAAAATAACAAACAAACAAAATAAATATTAAATTTATATTAATATTATAATAAAAATATGAATTTTAAATAATTATTTATTTATTTATTATAATGTTATTTTTTATTGTTGTTGTTATTATGTTAAATAGCAATATAATAAATTTTTAACACATTTATTATTTATTTTTTTGCTTATATATAATGTAATAATAATACAATATATATATAATTTAATTTATAAATAATTAAAATAAAATAAATAATTACAAAAAAAAATGAGAGATGTATTACTTATGATAGTTCACATACAGTACAAAACAAAACATTAATTTTTTTTGTTTAATTTTTTTGAAATAAAAGTCACAAAACTTATTAATAATAATAATAATAAATTTTAATTTATAATATATATTAAATTTATACAAAATAAATGGCTACTAAATTCATAGCATTAAAATTTTATGACAGTATTATTATTATTATTATTATAATAAATAACTTTTATTTTACACATTAATGATAAATATACTGAATTTTTTTTAAAGAAAATTAATTAAATTTAATAAATTTATTATTAATTTTCACTGAATATAAATACATTGCTTGTTATTATTTATATATTATATATATACTGTAATCAAAATTATTTTTTCAAAAAATTACTTTAAGTTTTTTGATATTTTTTGATTGTTTAGTTGATTTTCAATCAATTGATTTGTGATTTAAACAATTTATGACACATTTTCAATGATATCTTTCAAACTTAATAAACAAAACATTATATATTTATGGATATATAGTAACAAAAATTTTTTATAAAAAAAAATAAAATAAACGCTTAATATTAATATTAATCAGATATTTTTCCCAAATTATTTTTTTATATTATTATTTAAACAAATATATATAAATAGCATTTACAACAAAACAATAATAATAGGCAATAAAAATAAAAATAATTATTATAATTATTAAATTTTATTTAATTAAATATTTTTCTCTATCGCTTTCTTTTCATATTTAACTATAATTTTAAATTATTAATTGAATAGTGAGATAGTGAGAGAGCACTGGTATCTCGTGTGAGAGCACAGGTAGTTAGTGCTAGTGTTGACTGACTGGCACTTACTTTAGCGTATCGTTTAAAAACTTTAAACAAAAACAAACAACAAAAATAACTAAATGTTGTTTTAAATATATATATATATATACTATGTATATAAATATATAATTTTTGTACATATATATAATCATAAGTAAATTATTAATTAAATCATTATTTATTTGCTAATATATAGTATAAATATATATATATATATATTATTTTGAAAATCTTTATTAATATATCTCTAATTAACAAATATATAGTATATCTATACATTAGTGTCTTATATTCACATATATATTGTATAACAATCTATTTATCTGTAAAACTATGCTTTAAAACAACTGTATATATAAAAGGGGATGTGTCTGCCTAAGTGACTGCACCGGGCTATCCTACTACCTGTCCCTATCACTCACTCACTCACTCACTCACTCACTCGCTCACTCACTCACTCACTCACTCACACACACTCACACACTCACACACACACACACACACATACATACACACAGTGGTTAACCTCTAAATGTTTATTACATGTAGACAGTGAGTGAGTGAGTGAGTGAGTGAGTGAGTAAGAGAAATAGAGAGAGAGAGAGAGAGAGAGAGAGAGAGAGAGAGAGAGAGAGAGAGAGAGAGAGAGTAAAAACAAAAAACCCAGAAAAAGATACATTTTATACATTTAATACATTTTACTAAAAAAAGTAAATTTCTAATAAAAATGAAATAATATTTTTTTTTGTTTATTTAAATAAATTAAATTGAATTTTTATTTAGATAAAAAAATTTTCGAAAAAAAATTATTATTTAATATAGAAAAACAAATTTAAAAAAATTAATATAAAATATTAATAATTAAGTAATAAAAATTATTATTAATAATAATATTTAATGCATTTTTTTAATTAATTATTTTTTTGGTTAATAAATGTATAAATTTATTAACTCTTTATTAATTATAACTAAAACATATTTAGTAATTTTTAGTATACGATTTTTTAATAAAAAAAAATTATATACATAAAAAATATTAATTATTTTATGCTTTTTAATTTATCTAAATGTGATCTGAGATCTTTAAAAAAATAAATAAAATAAAATGTTTACGATAAATATTTTTATTGCACATAAATTGTAACAAAATTTAATTTTATGAGTTCAAAAACTATATATAATTTAGTTATAAATATATATATTTTTAAATAAACATTTTATATACAATGTATATAAATACTTTACAAAACTTTTTTTGTTATTTAAAAAACTTTTCTAAAAATTTAAATAATTTTTTTTAAAAAAATTAGTCATTGAATAATTTAAAAAATAAAAAATTTTGCAACATTTTCAGATAATTTTGTAAGGTTAAATTAAAAAACTAAAAAAAAAGTTTTTTAAAAAAATAATACATATTAATAGAAAGTGAGAGAGAGAGAGAGAGAGAGAGAGAGAGAGAGAGAGAGAGAGAGAGAGAGAGAGAGAGATTATATCATATAGTATATGGTTTTTCACATAATTATAAAAATTTTAATTTTATACTGTATTTCTTATAAATTATTTAAATTGAGTTAAAAAAAATTACATTAATTATTTTTAATTAATATATAAAATTACCTAAACAATTATAATAATATAAATAAACAATTATTGAGAAAAATTACTAAATTGTACCATGGTACAATTGTTGTACAATTATTAGGTTATTTTTGTTTAATTGATTAGACACTATAATTATAAATATTTATATATAAATATATATATATATATATATATATATATATATATATATATATATATAAGTATTTTTGTTATTAATAAAATTTTTATTGTTTATTATTTAACTGTATAAACCAAATATTAAAATTTGATTATATCATAATTAAATGTAAATGTTATTAAAAACAATTTATTAGAAATATTTTTTCCTATATATTGAGAATATCCTGTATTACATAATTACTTATATTTAGATATTATTTATAATATATTTTTTAGTGTAATATATCATATCATATATTAACTATTTTATACTAACTTTATATTATATTTATATTATATATAAGTTATGATATTAAATTTATAATAAATTTTAAATAAATATTTTAATAAATTTAATATTTAATGTACTAATAATAGCAATTTTATTTGTACTAAAAATTCTTAATATAAATAGTTATTATTTTTAACAATATCCATATTTTTCTACTAATATCAATTGAAATATAATATTATAGTATAAATTGTATTATATAATTATCATATATTAATGTTAATAGTGATATATAATTTTATGACATCACATTAAGTAACTACATTAATAGTATAAGTTATTTATTTATTTAAATAAACACTAATAAATTTAAATAATAATTTTATTGTTAATTTATTACAATAAATAAAAAAAATTAGAATTTTTTAAAATAAAAAATTCAATATTTTTTAAAAATTTTATTATAAAACAAAAAGTGTTACTAATCTAAAATTAAACAACAATTTTACACTAATTGTATTAATTAGATATAGTTTAATTTTCTATTAATAAATAAACTAATAAATAAAACAAAAAATTGATTTACGGTATATATATAATATTATAATCTATTAATAAATTAATTAAATAGTATGTATTATTATTATTATTATTATCAAATATTTATTAGAGCGCATAAGTAATGCACTTTTTAATTAAAAAGGAAATTAAATATATTTATAGTTAAATATTTATAAAGTATTTAATACTACTCAATGACTAATAAAAACATAACCTAATTAATTATTATTATTATTGAAATTGAATTGATAAATTGAATTTATTATTGATAATAGTACATAATAATAAATACAGTAAATTAAATTATAATATATAATAATTTAGAAATTTATTTATATAAAAACATTTACACAATCATAATTAGTTTGCGAAATAAAAAATTATGTATTTAAAAAATTATTATTATTTAGATATTATATTTGACTAACTTATAGAAAAATTAAAATTTTATTTATTTATCAACAGTTGTCACAATAATATTTTTCTAACTTGAAATCAAATTTTTCATTTTATTTTAAAGTAATTCAATATAAAAAATAAACTATTAAATATTTATTAATTAAATTATTAATTTTGTTGATTATATAACTATATTGTAATTTATAGTTTATCTTATTTGACATTTAAATTTATTTTTTGTTTGTTTTGTTTATTTCTATTGTTTTTTATAACAACTTTTAATTTACATTTATTAAATATTAAATTACATCAAAATTCAATTAATATTTAAAAAAAACAAATTTTTGTTATACAAAATAGAATTTTTTTTAATTATTTTGTATTAATTTTTTTTTGTATAATTATAATATATATATTTAACTTTTTAAAAAAATAATTTGATTTTTAACATTGTTTATATAAAACGTAATCCTCTATAATTAAACAATTTATTTATCAAACAATATATTTTTTATTCAACTAATTATTATCAATTCATATGATATAATATAATCATCATTATTGTCATTGATTGTTATTACAATATTATTATTATTATTATAAATATTTGATTTATAATACCAATATATAATTGTTAATCATTTATTTATGAATAATAATCATAAATAATTA